TCCTGTCTCCACCTGAAAATTAGTATAATCCTTCCTTTCTGATCAAATAAACCGGTCTGTAACCTACTGCATGCCCATTTTGTCCTGGCTATCGTTCTCGACCACATATAGCATCTTGGGCCTCTGCTTGGCAAATAAGGGTTCCTTCTTGATTCACCATTCAACATCCCTGATATTCTACATATTCTTTATTGCATGCACCTCACTTCTGTTCTGTAAAAAGGTGTAAATACAGGAGAGCAAAGGAAATGTAAATATCGATCAGTCTGCTAAATATCCTAATGGGAGTCTCAGGGCTCAGCAATGACACTTGTCATCAAGTCTAGCTTTGGTGTATAAATCTCTGGCTGTTATTTTGTCCTGCAAAATCAGGAAGGCCTGATCCAGGGGTGTGAAAACAGGGAGGAACTGAGGCTGGCCAATGGCACCTGTCCTTTAAAATCCTTAACCTCCTCCCCTGCAAACAGGGGAATATGTGTTAAGGAAGAGACTTGAAAATCTGAGCTGCCTGCCATTTATTTTTATCTTAATCATTTTCTTCCTATTTAATTTCTACTTTTCATTTCAGGTCTATAACATGGGGACAATGTGCCTGTCACTCATCAACCACAGTGACCTTGAGCAGTATGGCTGGGAGGCCATGGATGGCAGCAGAAACAGACAGTGAACTCAGAAGACCTAGTTTCAGTTCTGGTTCTGAAAGTAAATAGCTGTGTGACTTTGGCTATGCCACTTGATCTCTCCAAAGCTGTTTAATCATCCATCAAATTAGAATAATTCATCTTGCTCTTCCCATCTGGGATCAAATGAGAACATACATGACAACCCTTCCAAAACTATGAGGTATCCTGCATATACACAATGATGGCATTTGGGCCACATCTTGCTAGGCAAGTACTATTCTTGGACTGTAACCCTTTGGGAGTTATCACTTCTGGCAGGCAGATTCCATTAAGCACATCAAAATGGCAATACTTGTGGCCTCAGGAGAGAGTCTAAACAACCTGTTCCAGAACACAAAGTCCCTAATGAAAGTGGCCCTACCCACTTTGCCACCCTCTTCTCTCCACCCTCCCTGCACCCCTCTACTACACCCAGGAGACCAGTAAATAGTGCTGTTTCCCATACCAGGCCTTTGCACACCTATTCTTTCGTCCTGGCCAACTCTCCCTGCCCTGTAGCCAGTTACCTCAAACCTATTGTACTCCTCTAAGGAACCCCTGAAAAGCCATCAGTTGAACCTTGCACCAGCTGCCCCTAGAATGCACTTCTCCACAGAGTGTGGTCCTATTCCCTCAGATCCCAAGCTGCGCTAGCTGCAATGGCCAGCTTTCAACTTCTGTGGTTCATCCCCATCTACTCACCATGGCAGCAGGATCATAAATCAATCACTGAGCAGATGTCAAAGTGCTTGGGGCAAGGCTTTCCCTAGAAGGGTCAAAGTCTGGGGATGCTCAATGCATAGAGGGGATAAAAGGCTCTTATGGCTCACTCTCTTAACAGAAAAAAAATAAAGTGCAGGTGGTAAAGCTCAGGTCTCCCAGCTCCCTCACCACACAGGGGCTCAAGGCAGCTGCCCATCTATCTACCCAAGCATCAGAAGAGTTTCTTCAAAACGTCTGGCACAGAGAGCAATTATGGCAACATCCCTTCTAGCACAGAATGGACAACCTATGGAGCAGGAAAGGGTACGAACAGATGAGGGATGTGGTTTTCACTTGGAGGGCCTGGGACAAAATGCCACAGTCCCTCCTCACTGCTCAGAGTGGTCAGTGCCACACTCTCCATAAGAAGGCATCCTACTTACTGATAAAGTAGAAGGAAGAAAGGGCAAAGTCAGCAGGGCAACTCCATTCCCTCTCAAACACAGAACATGGAGTCCAAACACTACCCCATGGAGTCCTTTCCCGTGGACTGATGTACACACGCCTTCAGCACGTACTTTACTATACAGTGTAAGGTACTGAGCTGCTCCTGTCTACAAACCCAGACTAAACTAAACTCAATCATGACAGAGACCTATGTGTCCATCCAAAACAACGCCATAGCCTTTACCTTGCAAGCCGTCAACATATCAGACACGGCTTTCCGGCTCAGATTGGCTGTGGCGATAACATCTTCCTGTCTGCAAGAGTTCCCAGCTGCTACTGCTTTGGCTGTTGCCATGGTGATGCCTTTTGTCATCCTTATCGATTCTTCAGGTGATGATGTCTTTTCAGGTACTTCTTTTGACTGGAACACCTAGAAGTTAGAAATAGAAGAGGTTAGGAAAAAAAAAAGTAATGACAAAAACAATTTATTCTTCTCTGACCAGGCTGCAGCTCAGTATCTGAAAACCAAGCTGGCAACAGGAAGAAACTGTCAAATGGCAGGAAATGAGAAATTTAAGTACAGTAATGTCATTCTTGTTTCAAGATTCTAGCATGGATAAGTCTTGCACATCTATACTCAGCATTCATGGGAACAGCGTGGTAAGAGAGGCATATGTATAGCATTTACCCATTTGTCTGCAGAAATGGATACTCAATATTTGTAAATCATCCATCCCAGGGTGGTTCTGTGGCTTCTTGTTCTCTTGCCCCATCCCTGATGGAGCTTCATCAGTTCCCAGAAACTCTGCATTCTTGATGCTGGTTCCAGGGCAGGACTGACCTGGATAAACCACTCTGGGCTCACCTCTCTCTTTAAAGGGGTGTGGGGCTGGGGGAAATGAAGCAAGCATTCGGTTTCTTCTATTCTTAGCCTGTCTTACAAATGTAACTGCATAATTGTGTGGAGGCGTTCATGTGGAGTGCACCACAGTGACACTGTGAATTATTTAACACACACACACACACACACACACACACCCCTTTAGAGAAGCTGAAATAAATTAAGCATGGTAAGTGAATGTCCCACTTTAAAGTTCTACCTGTTAAGCCAGCCGTATATGCTTCAAGCCCAATCTGTCTTGCCTCTCTAGCATGAGTGACTGATGCCCTGGTTGTGTGCTGAATGTGGCAACGACTCCCTAACCAGTTGGGGCTGCTCTGTGTTTAGCCCTAGGCAGCCATGTTTCAGCAGAGAAGCCTTTCCTGAGGAAGGATCCAGCCAGCATCCCTGCCATGTGTCAACTAGTGTCAAACATCGCTATTCCCCTAAAAAGGGGCAGCTGCAATTAAGTAGCCCAGGACTCCAAATCCCAGCCCCATCCCTGAATGCTGCAGTGGAATGAAGGCCACGTGCACAGAGCCTTCCACACTGATGTGGCCCTTGTGGCTCATGCTCTTTTGGAAACATCTTATATCCATGGAAACACATAATCTGGATTACTTCTAAATCACGTGGTGTATGTAGATGGACCACGTTCTGCAATTTCTAAGGAAAACTCCAAATTTCAAACCTTCTCTTCCATTGCCACCATTAAGCCCACCCACACCTGTCAGAACATGTGCCCAGACTTTGGTAGGAGACCTCTAGCCTGTGTGGCAGGTGAGTGCTGAGCAGCAGTGCTTGAGGACACCACCTATATTCCTTAGTTTCTCCTCTGTGGGAGAATTAAGCACAACATCAAGCAAGGCTGGATTCGTTAAAAACAGAAGAAGAGAACACAAGGCTCCATCACCGAAACCCAACAGGACTGCTCATTTCCACTGCTCAGCCTCAGGGCTTTGTGGCCTTCTAAAGATGACCCTCTAAAGATGATGACCCTCTAAAAATGCATAACAACTGGCAGCAAAGGCCAGTCCTTTACTCAGCCCTCCAAAAAGAAGGTGAGTCTGTAATTAGGCCTCCTATTGGAAAGAAATCTCAGTTTGAAACCACTCATTTTCGGCATATTTCTATTTCAGGAATTAGGATGAGTCAATCCACGATTGTCATGGGATCAAAAAACAGTAGCACCAGAATGCCCTCTCTCTACAGCACTGGAACAGGGCAAAAAAGAACACATGGTGACTCCTCTGAGATCAGACACCTCAAACAGAAGGGAGCTGGATTTTACAGGGGAAGTGAAGGCATCAAGGTTTTTCCAATGGTGAATCTCAGACTCAAAATCCACACAAGTGCAGCAGTGTGGAGTGGTGCCGATAGCAATGAAAACCAAGAGGGCTGTGTGTGGTCACACACTGTACACATGATTGAAGCTCAGGGTGAACACAATAGCCATACTGACTTTTTCCTTTGCCAAGGATCTTCTGTAATGCTTTGGTTTCATGCTGCAATTTTACTGGAATTAAACCCGAATAGTCCTAAGTGATACATTTCAATTGATTCCTTAATTATAATTACAAATCGATCCTGACCAAACTCTGGGGTGGTCAGTTACACGTGAGATCTCAGGCAGGCAGGTGAGTGGGCCTCCCTTGTTCAGGTGCTCCGGGTAAAACCTCTTTATGCTAACAATCTCATGGAAGCCTGGGGGTCAGCTGTTGGACACGAGTGCCCAAGGGAGGTGACTCCTGGCTCCTTACCGTGAGCTCCTGCTTCATGTACTCGATTGTGGCCTCAAGCGCCCGTGTGCCCCGGGTGGCCTCATCTTCCACTGCCTTCACAGTCTTGAGGAGGGAGGTGACATTGGTCACCATCACCTGCACAGGCAGAAAGGCCAAGAGAAAACATGCACTGAGATTTACCCCCTTCTCCTTTAGTTCCAGATGTAATGCCATGAGTAAAAACACCTTTAAATGAGAAAGGAGCTCAGATGTGCATTCTGTCAATATTTTCGTGTGTGCTTCTCTCTCTCCAGCACTCTCCCGGCATGCTCACCCCTAGTTGGGGCTCCACACTACCTTGGCAGCCCCCTTGAGCTGGTACATGGAGGGGTCATCAGCGGGCTTGCTGGCAGCTCCCTTGGTAGCACCAATGAGATCTGAAAGGGCCTTGGCCACGTCTTTGATGGCGTTGATCAACACCACCTGAAAGAGAACATTGAGCCCAGGTGAGTGGGCCCCAAGGGTCACCTACTGGCCTCATAAGAACATACAGCCCATGGGCAGGCTGGGGGCGCCTGGGTCTCTCAGTCAGCAGCTCTCATCCTGCAGCTCCGAGACTCAGGGAGTGTGGGTTCCCACTGATGCGTTTTGAAGTTTTTCCTTCCTCCGTGGGGACAACAGCAGCACGGCAGGCAGAGATTTCTGTGAAGACTTTGAACTGCAGAGGGCAGCCAATCTGAGCTCTTATATCATCAAAGAGAAATCCAGCGGGAGCACAGAGTCACCTCACTGAGCTCTGCTCCACCAGGGGATGTCAGGAAGGGGAGGTCATGGGAGCAAAGCTGGAGTTCTTACGTTAACCAGAATGGTAGCTGTGATAGACCGAGGCACTGAATGGCAGGGGGCTTTCTATCCAATTTTGTCCAAATGGGACAAGTAGACTAGTTTACAGAGTATAGTTTCAGCAGCAAAAACAACAGTGTTTACCATCCGATGGTGCTGGGATAGAGAGAAAAGAGGAATTTTCAAGTTTTGCACTAGGGAATAGGTAGAATCCGTTATTCATGGCCCTGGTTGGCTGTTAGTTCAACAGCTGAACATAAATTTGTGGGGCACCTATGTTCTGGGAGCTGGGTTGGGCACTTAGGTTTCAAAGATTACTAAGCCGTGGTTACTATCCTTGAAGAGTTAACCGTCTAGGTCAGGGGACCAAGGAAAAGGCAGATAACTTCAATGAAACTGCTGAATTGGAAGCAGAGTATAGGAGTATGGAGCCCTTCCCTGCTCCAGACTTTTCAAGTAGGGTGTCTGTGGGTGCTGGCCTCATTTCTTCATCCTCACCAAGCTGCCCTGCCTCTCCAAACAGCCCTGTTTGGGGTCACCACTGCTCTCCACGGCACTTGGGCCAGTGGCCAGCTCTCTGACCTTCATCTTTCTTGACTTTTCAGCCATCTCTGGTGGGTTAAAACAGGGGTCCCCGACTCCTGCCCTGGGCTGCAGACCGATACTGGTCCGTGGCCTGTTAGGAATGAGGCCGCACAGCAGGAGGTGAGTGGGGGGCCAGCACTAGCATCACCACCTCGGCTCCACCTCAGATCATCAGGTATTAGATTCTCATAGGAGCACCGGTGCCATAAAGGTTTGGGATTGCTCGGTTAAAAGACTCCCTCCTAGAGGTCCCCTGGCTTTCTTCCTACCAGCTGCACCTGCTTCTCAATCACCTTAGGCATCTCCCTCTTGAAATGCTCTTAAATAGTGCATTCCTCAGGGCTCTGCCTTGAACCATGCCCCTTCTCTCACTCCACACTTTTCCTCTCCTGTGGTCACAGTTGCGGTCTGTATGGTAACATCCCCGCACCTGAGTAGGCTTATGCCCACTCACTAGTTGTACCTACGTGTGTCTTTGCCACTTCTCGTTTAGCATCTTCCAACCTGAACTCAGCTTTATCTCCCTGCCCAAGCCGGCTCCCCGTCCAGGGAGCTCTAGCTTCCTGTGTTGAGCCACCGTCATTTCACTGACAGAGCCTGAAAAGTGGAGCTGTCCTTGTCTCCTTCCTCTCCCTCGTCTCCAAATGGTCCCTGTGTTCAATCTTTCACTATGCCAGGCTGAGTCTTCCTTACAGACTTCTCTCAAACCTGCTGGCTTGTCTCCCATCCCCATGGCCACCATTATGGTCCCTGCCACTATTTGGCTTGGATAACAGCCTCCTACCAGTCCCCAAACCACGGACACACTCAACGCACACATTGTTTACTCCAAAACTCCTACTTTTCCGTAATTCCTGTGGAATTACGAAGATCGTTCCCCAGGCACACCTGTACCTGGGTCTCGGGGTCGTCAGAGCCCAGGCTGGTCAAAACTCCTACTTTTCCTTTGGCTTCTTCTGAGGCCTGGCGTACAGTGTTTGTGGAATTACGAGGATCGTTCCCCAGGCACATCCGTACCTGGGTCTCGGGGTCGTCAGAGCCCAGGCTGGCTGCCCCCAGCTTGACCACCTCGGCAAGCTGGGTGATGGTGGCTGCTGAGGACTGAGCTGCCTGGGCCAGCTTGTCTGGAGTGGACGCAGCCCCCGACACCAGCAGTTTTGTGTCTTCCACCAAGGCCTTGGCTGTCTTCAGAATATTCTCCCTGAGGAAGAAGGAGGCCGATGGGAGAGGGAGAAACAAAGGGCAAAGCTTGGTTACTAGTAGTTGGGAGGAAGAGAAACCCCTCATAGGGGGCTTTTTGTTAAAGGGCTTCGAAGAGAGGCAATGCATTTCCCCTCTTACTGGGGAAACAGAGACGAGAGGAAAGTCAGCCTAGTATTTACATAGTCAATTACTAGTAACATTTCAATTAAAGATTCAGATCCACCCATTTGGTCCCCTTCCCCCAGCCCGTAGCCAAACGAGAGGTCAGCTTCTTTCCTGTGGTTCCCATTCTCCCTAAGAATATTTCACAGCTTTAGGGAGCTGTGAGAACACATGAGTCAGGGGACCCTCCCAGTACATCAGAGCCCACATCAGGTTGGGTCCTGGAACAGGTGGCCAGGCACTGGGAATCTCTTCCCAGGCCAGCCCTGGGACTGAAGAGAGAAGACGAGGGTGCTGGTCACATGATGAGGATATGCGTGGTCCCCAGCATCAAACGGAGACCCTGGCACCAGCCTTCTGAGTGGGGCCTGAAGAGCCAGCCCAGGAGAGACAGCAGGCTTGGAGCCCTGCTCCCCAAAACAGGGAGGAGCTCACTGTGCTTGCTGTGGCTGCTCCCAATCCTGCGGGGTTGGTGAGCAAATCAGAGACACAGTTCTGCAGCTTGGAAAGTGAAAGATCAAAAGCCATCCTCTGCAGAGGAGGCTAGATTTAGGCTGAGAGAGGCAAAGCTGGAGCACAAATTCCGTGTTGACAGTTGGCAAAAGGGGCTTATTTGGATTATGTGGTTCGCTTTCTGCATTTGAGCATCTTGTTGAAATCAAAACAGATGAGCATATTTCTGGTTCCCAGGTGGCATCTCCAAAGTCCAGCCGGACAGCTCCTTTGTTCGGGAGCCCCATACCTGTGGTCTGCGAAGGTCTCGTTGTTCTCTGCATTCAGGGTCCCTGCAGTCGCAAACATGATGGTGGTGTCCAGGTCAGCAATGATCCCGGACACAGCAGTGGCGGCTGTGATACATGCCTGGGTCCCCTTGTTCCCAGCTTGGAGAGCTGACAGCACCAAAGACACCTGCAGGCAGAGAGAGATTGTCAAGGGGAGCGAGGAAGCAGAGGAAATGTAATCCAAACGTGCAAGGACTCTGAAAACAGGAGTTGATGCAGCTTTGGGGTTAACAGCACAGTTTAGGGTCAAGAGCCTCAGTCTGAACACTGGCTTTGTCATTTGCTGGCTACTTGACCTTGGGCAGCAGGTTTCATCTAAGTCTGTTTCCTCATCTGTAAAGTGGGGCTATTGATTTTTGTCTATCAGGTTGCTGGGAGGACTGACTGCAGGAAAATGTTATGTCTAATGTCTAGTGTGGCACTTGGCGGGAGTGTTTGGTAGGGGGGTAAATGCTATTTTAAAATTATTATTAGGTTTCTGAAACCACAAGGTGGGATAAAGGATAAGGCTCCTGTGAAAGGTGTGGCCATTTCTGTCTCCTTCGATCAGGTTTTCTGAAGAGCCCTATCTGCTAACACTCATCATGCCCTCTCCTGGTGGCCTCTTGATTAGAAATTCTCCGCAGTGGACTCCGGAGGGTCTGGAGTCCAGAGGGGATCACTGTATGTTACCTCTCCACCCCAACACTCCTTTGAGCCATCACCCGCCACCAAAAATAACTCCAGTGACCTGAGAGTCAAGCAGGTTGGCTAAGGTGTGTGTTCCGGTGTCTTCCACATTGGAAACTCTACACTGCCACCTGCCATTTCCCTCCAGTGCAACCTCACTGCTCCTGGGGCCTCTCCTAACACAAATGTGACCCCACCCCATCCCTGTGTGCAGTTCTCCCCGGGCTGTGGAGACGAGTTGAACCAGGTTCAACTTCTCTAGCCTCTGACTCCATTCTTGCCAGCTCCTTACTTCTCCAAAAGCCCTGATTCCCCCCACTCCTGGTGGGTCTGCCCTCTGCCTTCAATGCTCCCCCTCTCTCCCTTCTCCAGCCACTGACCTACTCATCCTGCAAGAGCCAGCTCAAAGGCCCCACTGGGATGCCTTCCCCACTTTTCTCTTCCAGAGAGATGACTGGATCACCCAAGGATTCTACCACACTCTATTCCTGCCCTCAGGATGGCCTGTTTACCACAGGTTATAAACAGCATGCATCTGGCTAGGAGTAATGTGAGGCCAGGAGCCATCATATTAATCCTAGTGTACGTACACCCACCATCCTTGACTATGGCTGACACAAAGTAGGGTCTGAAAACATGTCGTGAATGCATTTTTTAAAAACATTCTGACCAGGACGGGGGAGTTGCAGCATCAGTGAGAGGCACAGACTTTGAACGCTTTCTTCCTCTTATGCCGCTCAGATCGGAGAAGAGGCTGTGAACAAAGCCAGGCAAGAGGGGCAGAGAGCCTGTTTCCTGAGCACCCGCCATGTCCCAAGACCAGCTCCATAGCAACTATTTCCCAAGTTAAAAGGCACTATGTCCCCAGTGTACACACACCCACCATCCTTGACTATGGCTGACCCAAAGTAGGATCTGAAAACATTTCGTGAATGCATTTTTTAAAAACATTCTGACCAGATCAGGGGAGTTGCAGCATCAGTGAGTGGCACAGACTTTGAATGCTTTCTTCCTCCTATGCTGCTCAGATCGTAGAAGAGGCTGTGAACAAAGCCAGGCAAGAGAGGCAGAGAGCCTGTTTCCTGAGCACTCGCCATGTCCCAAGACCAGCTCCAAAGCAACTATTTCCCAAGTTAAAAGGCACTATGTCCCACCAGGAAAAGATGAGTCAGGCTAGCACAAAGCTGGCCTGGAAATGAGGGATCCAGTTTCTGGAAAGAATACCCAGAGGGCAGGTGACAGAGGCCAAGACAAGTAATCAGAAGTCTGGGAGGGACTTTCTTGGTCAGAGTGAAAGAAAGAATCCAGAAAGTGTCCCCCTACCTCCACTGTGAAAAGTCAGCAGGTGTTTACTGAGCATCTACTAGTCACTAGAGGATGAGGACAAAAAAGTGAACAAAGGGCTCATGGTCGGGGGAGTCACACAGACACAACCAAGACGTGTAAGAAAGCCACCCCAGGTGACGATGGGACTGCAGGAGATTAGAGGAGTAGGGACCTTTAGTAAGAAACTGCCCAAAAGACTAGTTGCTCTGAACGAGCCGCTGTACTGCCTTTGATCCTTCTCCAGGTTCCTAACTCAGGGCTCCTCTCCTGGGAGAAGCAGTAAGACCCAGGCCAGCTCAGGAAGGTCACATTGCTTGTCCAGGCTCACCCAGGCTCCTCCACCTTTGCCCTGGGCTCCTGCTACAAGGTTTCCTACGGGGACACTTGGCAAGAGGAACTTTAAGAACAAGGAAGGGCTTTGAAAGGAGGGAGAGTGCCTTCCTCAAGCTGAGAGATTTATTTCCTTGTCTATGGAGTCCCGAGAGGCCTGGACAGTCCTGTGGGCTGTGGGAGATGGCCAGACCACGGCTCGGCCTGGGCGAGGAGCCACGTACAGAGCAGCCTCTGTAGGGCAGCTTCCAGGTGAGGGGTCCCCCACTCATCCCTTGATTCCTGTTGCCAAGCTTCTAACAGTGCAGAGCTCTATGTCCTAAGAACCCAAGTGAAGGAGAGGGAAAGCCAGCCAAGCATGGATGCTTCAGCCTGCACGTCTAGTGGCCTGTAAAACAGCTGCCCTGAAAATTTACTCAGAGAAATAAGCAAAGCAAAAGATCAGCATGCTGCGGGAGAGTAAAGGAGATACTGGGAATAAGGGACGTTCAGAATGGGGCATTGTTAACCAGGGAAAACTTCCCGGGAGAGCAGAGTTGGAAGACAGTTTACACATAACAGCAGCTGGTGTTTCTTAAACGTTGAACTGTGTCTGGCACTGTACCGAGCACTTGCACACACACCACCACATTTAATCTGCACAATCCTATGGGCCAGGAACGATGTTTCTTCATCTTCATTTTACAGATGAGGAAACCGAGGCTTAGAAAGGTGAAGTCACTTAGCTGAGATACTGGAGCCCCATCTACTACACTATGTGACTCTACAAACAGCTGCTGTGGGAGTCGAAAAAGGCCATGCATGCCCCTGCTCTCGCACCAAGGAGCCACATGACCTCCGACAGGCGCTTAACCCTCCCCCACTTCACCAACTCATCTGGAAATAAAGAGGTTACAGGAGAGAGACTTCAGGTCCTTCTTACTCAGCCCACAGCATTTTGGAGTCCCCACCCACTCCCCTGGAGAAGGAAGCCCAAAGGGCAAAAGTGTCAAAGGGGTTGCAGGGAGGAGCTCCTGGTGCAGATCCTGACTTTGATAGGCTCTGTCCAGGCTGTCTGCAGGAGAGCCCTTGGAGGTAGACCTGGCCTTTGTGAGACAGTCCCTCTCATGCTTTCAATTTCTCAGGGCTTATGGGTCACCCTCAGCTCCCTGATATGCCCAGTCCCTGGGCAGGAGAGAAGATGACCAGACCTGCCTTGGCTGTTCCCTGTGCTTAGCCCTGGTCACAGTGGGCACTGTGGCTGCGTCTGACCCCAGGGCTGCTCCTTACCTTCTCTGTGACTGTGCGGGCACACTCGATGAGCTCCCTCTTGGTGTAGCTGTCGGTGGGGCACACCTGGAGGGCCCCCGCCTTCTGGACCAGGAAGATGCAGCCGTGGCCCAGGTCTTGCACACGAGTGCGAATCTGGAAGCCGATCTGTGGAAGCAGCCCGGGGTGGAGAAGGACAAGCGTGACGGACCCAGCCATCGAGGTCCTCCTTATGTGGAAACTTTCTTACGTCCTATGGGAGCCTGGCTAGGAAAATTCCACTGCTATTCGGAGTCTGTGCTCGGTGAAGTATGGAATTTGGTTGATTTTGATTCCCTTTTTAGAATGTAAAATGCCCACAGTCCCCAGTAAGCAAGACTGTACCCCATCATCTTAGCATAATGCCTGATACTTGCTGTCTTTACTGGAGTATTGCTTATTTGTATCCTGCACCACTTGATCAGAACGTCCATTAGATGAGCTCTGCTGGATAACTGTTATTCCCTCATAAGCATTTATTGAGCCCCTACTGTGTGTCAGGGCCTCTTCTAAGCAGGTAATGCATTTAATTTCATTCATTCCTCACAACATCCCTAGAAGGTAATAAAAAGTTCAAAATATACGGCTTAAGTATTAGGCATATTGTAAAGTGTTCAGATTCTTGTAAATTAGTATATTTCCTGACCGGAACACCTCCCCCCACCCCCAGCTGTACCCAGTGGGGAGTGGCCTTTCTGGGCCCAGGCTTCCTTTCTATTAAGCCCGGTTTGAGGTTTCCACAGCTCAGCAGGCACGCATTCTTTTAATGACCCCTGGCTTGTGGGATTATAGAAAGTACTTTGCTAAAAGAGGCCAAATGAGCTCTACTGCGGATAAACTGCCAGCTGTCACTTTAAGGTGCAATAAATTCCATTGCCACTTCCCAGAGTTTCCATTCCTCTGGCTGTTTCACATCAATTTTCATTTGGGTTTGATCGATACAGCTGCCTGAATAATCTGCCCTCCCGCCCAGATAAACAACTAAAAACAAATGAACCCTTTCAGCTTTAGTTGTTTTCAAGAAACCACCATAGCAAGAAGCTGTGGCTTATCCTTCCAGCATCTATCATGAAGAGTTACTCAATAACCTCAGGTATTAAGATAATACCTGGAAGATTTGGGCCACCTGGATGCTGTCTTCTAATATCATCCCATTAGTCAAGGTTTTAAGGAAGGGTGACTGGGGAGTGATGGGGGCTGCAAAGGTCAACTCCTATTATTGAAATACTGCTTTTAGGGAAAAAGGTAATTCCCTTAACCCCCCAAGGTCCAAAGGATGCTTAAATCCATTTAATAGAAAATTCTCATCCAGAAAGTCGACCTTCTGCTCTTGGGGTGTCTTCCATTGTACACAGGGGGCTGCAAAACCTTCACAGTCAGGGATTCTTGTTGAACATCTCCACATAAAACACAGCAGGAGCGGCACCCCCAGGATTACACAACCTGGCAGCTCGGCTAACAGATCTGGACTAGTGCAGCAGCAAAGCTGCCACTGAGGAGGGGAGAGGCACTTGAATTCAGCCCACGCAGTGGTAAAGCCATTTAAATATAGCTATTTGCTTGTCATGTTTGTTGCTTTAGCGCAAGCCCAAGGTGAAGCAGGGGGATGCCCCCATTCAAGTTTTAAATTCAACCTGGCTCTCGAGGCTTTTCAGATTCATATAGTTTAACCCTAAGTAGTGAAAGATCAGAGCCAATCCAAAAGCAAGAGCTCTGCTTTTGAAGATGACCACAAATTTCTAAATGACAGGTGCTGGTGGGAAAGTAAGGTACGGGGCAAATGGAGAAAGTCATAGAATTTCAAAATAAAAACAAGTTCAACCTGCCCATTTACAGATGAAGAGACTGAGGCCTGGAGATGTGATGTGAGTGGCCCAAGATCCGTATTCTAGGATAAATGGTAACCCATTAGGAGCCAGTCCCTGGGAAATCCAGGTCTCTAATACCAGCACAGTGCTCTACCCATTAGATCAGTGCTTTTCAAACTTCTTTTTTTTGGCCACTTAACAGGAGAGCTCTCTATCCCCAGCCCCGCCAAATAAAAGCTCTCATGGTACCTCAACATGTAAAATAGAAATAATTTATTATTAGGATACTTTTCCTTTATGAGTTAAAATATATATCCTTGACTCAATAAAAAGGCAACAATGAGACTGAGTGAACCCAAGTTTAAAAGTCGGGGTTATGAAGGCCAGTTACAGCCTCGGCCGCCAGCTCATTTCTGTATTTTGCTTTGGTTGCACAGTGTTGTGAAAATCCTGTTATGTGTGTAAATAAAGCAAACAGAAGCCGTTTTCTCAGTTTCCTGACCACAGCTGGCAGGGCAGAGCTGCATCAGCCGGGGAGGCCTGTGCAAACCACCCACTGGCAGCTCCTAATGGGTTACCATTTATCCTAGAATACGTTCAAGAGTACATGCAACTTTTCCTGACAGTTTTAAAAATAGTCCAATTATGTTTAAAAAGTGAGAATTGAGGCAAACATGCAGAACTTTCAAAGCCCCTCCCTGGGTCAGAGTTCTGAAGAATACGGTTTAAAACCATTGTGCTATGAACAGCTCCCATCCCAATCCTTCTCCCTGCAGGGAGCCAAGCCTGAGCTTTCAGTTTACAGAATGACAGGGCACAGGGACAAGCACAGGCCTCTTAAGTCACTCCCAAATCTCCCTGGGGGTGGGAGGGAGCTGCCTCGCAGCTGAAACCTGTGGGCAGACATGCTAAACGGTGAGAACACATCCTCAGTGACACACACTCAGGCTCCCTTGACCTCCCTCTCAAAGGACCACATTATAAAAACACCCCAAGGTCCTGGTGCTCATCTGCTTTCTTGGAGGTGACATCATGCATGTAGCAAAAGTCTTGAAACGTAACAGCGGAGAGCTGGTACAATGTCATTAGGGATGAGATTCCAGTTGGGAAGCACCAAGGAAGAGTAGCACCAGAAAGCAAAGGGATGAGACTCAAATAAGGGAACTGCAAAAACCCTTGGGGTTCTTAGACAACCCAGGGCTTGGCCCTGGCAGTTGGGTCTGTGTTAGGTCACACTGTTACCTTCTAGGTGCCTGGAGACCCCCTTGAGGTTTGGCCATGCAAACCTCCTATATTCTTGTCTGTGTGCGATCCTATGTGGACGGCATGCAGGAAGGATGTAGTATTAAAAAGGACAAGTTGAAATGGGCTTCACTCACTTATTTTCACAGGCTGAGGGCTAAATGTAACAGAAAGGAAGGGATCTCAGGATCCCGACCCCAGCCCCACTTCAGCTCTCAACCTTTCACCCTTGTGGGTCCCGTGGGGGAGCAGAAAGAACCAGGAATCTTGTTTCCAATCTGCCTTTTCCTAGCTACTGGACTCTCTGGGTGAGCCTGCCAACCTCCTGGGGCCTTTGTTCCTTCACTGAAGACACAGGAGGGAGAGAACCTGCCCTGCCCACTTCCCAAGGCCAAATGAATGACAGAATGAAAGGTCTATGTGAAAACATCTCAGAAAGTAGAACGTTCACTGTCGTGAAAAGAGGCAGCTTGGTGCAGGAGAAAAAGCAAGGCTTGCCCAACAAAGCTGGTTTCAACTTCTGACTTCCACATAGTTACTTCCTAAGTTACTTGAAACTTCACTTATTCCCAAAAGTTATTTCAAATGGCTCCAACACTATGGTAGCTGTGTGGTCTTGGACAATGTAAGCTCCTTAAGCATTGGTTTGCTCATCTGTGAAATGGAGAGAACAAATGATTGTCTCACATGCTGTAGCTGAGGGTACACAGGACAGCACCTAGCATAGCATCTGACTTGGCGTATGGACTTGACAAACTACTCTCATACTCTTATTCTCTTCCATAGGCATGTGGGATGGCTCCGGCATTGAACGAAAGAGGACAACAGAATCAACATATCATCAAAACGATCATTTGCTCTACTACACTTTCCCAGCACATTTTGTACTGCCAGAGGAACAGCTAGAAAGGGAATATATTTTTACGACTATTCAAATAGATAAGGACTTTAAAAATGCTAAGTTTCCCAAAGCAACATAAAACTTCTCAGCATATATGACCAGTCCCAATGGTGATCCAACCACAACTAGTGTTTATTATAAAGGAATGCTGCTTACAGATATCAAACGTGGGGTTTTAAATTGGCAGCTTTAGTAAAGCATTACTTGAACCTCAAGAAAAACCCTCAATTCCCTTCTTGCCCAAATAAAAGTAAAATAGAGAAGAATGCATCCTGGTTTTGCGCCTTGAGGGAAATTAGAAGCCTGGTCTTTATGAGGTTTTGGATCAAATTTCAAAGTGGGGTGGTGGTCTAAGAAATACTGATCATCTTTACTGACTAAAACTAAACATACAGGTTTTTCCCAGGCTTTAAAAACAATCACATATAAAATGAGTTCAAATATACTTTGCCTAGGAGAGCTTGTGAAAGTTGAAAAGACAATAATGGATGTTAAATGACAAACTTTGTAGTTTCTCTTTAGGGAAAAAAAAAAAAGGACTAAAGAGTGTGTACAGCAAAAGAAATGTATCATTTTCCTACCTACAGAAAGTATATCTTTGGAAAGTTTAAAAAATTTGAGAGTAGACACCCATCTCGTTTGGGAAAAAGGGCTTTGGTTCTCACTACAAGCTCTTGATAAATGTTCCTGACAGCTTTGAAGACACGAGTATTACCAGTGGTTACAGCAGAGCTTACTCAGAGACAAAGCTGCAGTCACTAAATCTTTCCTTCAGCATTTACACATAGGAGTTGTAGCTCACAGGACCAGCATTTTTTTTTTTTTTAAGAGGAAACTAATCTTAAATTGCAAAGTTGCCTGAGGGTTTTAACTTTTCTGAAGAAAGAAGTTTTCACGGAGATGTTAACAAAAGTTTCGAATTTCTGTGGAAAAATAAGCAAGATAAAACTCTTGCTTGATATTCAGAGGGCAGAGCTATGGCTTTTCCTGTAATTGTCACATTCTGGAAGAGACTGAAATGCTGACTCGGCACAGCAGGCTGCAGGACTGCAGCAAGGGGAGCAGCTTCTTATTTGCCCTGGATATAAATATTTTCACATACTGCGATGTGGGGCCCTCTTGGGTATACAAATAATTCCGCAGTCTTGGAATAAAAAACTACTGCTTCAGGGGTCTCCGAACCCTCTCAGTTTCCCCCCAAATATCTGTCTGGCAAATGAACACAAAGAATTTTCCTTTGTAAGCCACTGGTAATTTTATATTCTCTCTGCCCCTTTTCACTCCAGGTCACGCTGCTCTTGTGTCTGGAATGTAAAATACATCCCAAGATGGAGAAAAGAGAAAACCTTAATGAAAATGTCAGCTGCTACAAAGCAGGGTGAATAACTAAAGTAACTAGTTGTTGCGCCTTTAGAATACATTTTCTTTCCTGGCTGCTTTGGTATTTCTATTTTGCCTCAGTGGTCTGAGTTGCAGTAAGGTAATCTGCCTGTTTCACACATGGGGTGGAACTCAGATGTGGAAAGGGCTCCAACAGATTATTGGGTCCTCACTCAACAACTTGGGCAGGCCAGCACTTAAACTGACCAAGGCAGATGGTTATAGATTCCATTTTTAGATTTCTGGAGACAGATCCAAACATCCCTTGCAATCACAGTCTCTTTTAATTTCCCTGCAAAGCCAAACACTTCTTCCCTTTGTTCAAATTTTTCCTTCCTATAACATACCAAAACAGGGAGTCTGTTTTAAAAAAAATGATGGGCTTGTATAAAGGATCAACAAAATCCTGATGTAGGTCTCTGATAATTTTTCTTTCTTGGTAGTGACTTAATAGACTCATTGTAAATAGAATTATTCATGCTGCAGCTTAAGTACCCATCCTAAAATCTCAAAATGCAGGCACTGTTAGAACTTAAGTCATCCCATGCTACATATATATGTATGCAAGTACATATATATAAAATACTCCTATTTACATGCATTGTTACAACATACGTTAGAAAGTGATTTTGTTTGGGGCTTTCATATCTGTAGTTTCTCTGGGAGGCTTTTTAAAGACATGCTTAGACATGACTCCCAGGAGAAATAGCAGCACCGAGGAACTTGAGGACACTGACTGTTATTGCGAGAAGGAAAGACCAGTCACAACCTTCTGCCTTGACAGCCCGATCCATTTAGGAATGTGGCAAATGGGGTATGTGCTCAATAAACAGCTTGCTGAATTTCACGGAATGTAGTTACCTTCATCTTCCCAGTGTCCCTGTAATCCACTCCATTATTCTTTATTTCCTATTAAGCTCTATTTTTCTAAGGACCCATGTAGCAGCTGAGGACTGGGCCCTTTCTGTGTGTTTGCACTGATACAGATGCAGTCAAACACCCCGGAGTTCCACCCATCCTGTGTGCTTCCCAAGGACTACTTGATTTCTCAGAGGTATCAGAGATGGGAGCTCTTAGAAAGTGGACTTTGGGACCAAACTTTTGCCTATTTAAGACTCTTGTGGGTGCAGGCATTCTGAGGCAAAGTCTGCGTGGGCCAGTAAGGAAAGTGAATTTAGGAAAGGCAGGTAGATAATGAAGAGAAGTCCACAGGGGTATAGGGGTAGGGACCTGGGCCAGTTCTTAGAAAGGCGCCAACAATATTCAGGCAAGACTTTGTTTCATAAAAGCAGACTACACAGTGGTTTCTCAAGAGAGGGGCAGCTAAACCCCATCCAAGGCTCTGCCAACACTTTTATGAGCCTTTGGAAAACGAAAAAATAAGGGAAATTTGCTCCGTGTGAGTAGAAAGCAAGAGGTAGATGGCAGTGGATGTTCTGCCCTTGGCATCAGGTGATGGGCCAGGGGACAGGTGACCTGGCAGCATATTGTAAACAGAGTCCTTCTGTCTCAAAGCCCGCCTCCCCAGATGTCCCCGGATCTCAGCCAGTTGGCTCACAAAGGACAGTGAGCCTTGAGCACAGCCTGGGGTTACTGGGTCTGAACCTGGGGGCTGGCAGCACAGTAGTGAGAACTAAGCTTGATTCTGCCTATGAGGCTGGGGTCTTTTGGAGTGAGCTGAGCTATGGAAGATCCCCCGAGAGTGGGCACCCAGGTGGGTTGGCTTCTTAAAACAGGGGCTTAAGGTGGCAGACCTCCTCTGGTTCCGCCGTGGCTGCTGCCATCTGGCCCTGGAGAGCCAGGTGCCCATAGTCACTGGTCATTTGTGAAGCCAGTCCTCCCAACTCTTCCGGGTTAGTAACCGACTTAGTCATCTGGAAAAAGAAAACAAGCAAGACACAAAACACACACAGAGAAAAGCATGAGAACCATGTGTTAATACCACTGGAAGCCAAAGGGTTTTATTCACTTTTAAGCTATTGGCTTGCATTTGGGGCTGGACACTAGAGAGGGCAGTTCAAGCGAAGCCCATGCTACATTGCACACAACAGGCTGGGGCCCCTTTCAGGCCAGAAGGTCCTGACAGGGCCAATGGACAACATGCTAGGCTCAGGCGGTGCAGTGTGGAGGCCGGGCCTTCAGGCTCCACTCTGGGAGGTGAGAGCAGCAGCCTAGCCAGCCCTGTCCTGTAGGTCAGTCGCTAGAGGAGTTCCCCAGAAAAACCACAGGGGGGCACAATCCCCATGCAGTGCACACCCCTGGTCACAGTCTTCTGCAGAGAGTTCATGTGGTCCCAGGAACCCAGAAGTGGGTCCCACACAGGCACCAGAGGGCATGAGGACAGGGCTGTTAAGGAAATCGTGACTGAGAAATGATGGATAAGACAAATGTTTTGGAGGAAGAAATTCACAGAGAACACAGCTTTGTAGTAAATTTGTGCCAAAGAATGACAAGATTTTGGCCTCAATTTAAGAGTATATTGTAGCTTAAATGGTCAAATTCTACCTTTTTATTATCAAGATAGTCTGTATTTTCCTCCTGGTTCATAGAAGAACTTACCTTGTGTACCCTACCTAGCTACCATGCTAGTTTCTCATTTTTCCTCTTCCTCTGACAAAAATGTCTTAGTTCTCACAACAGCAGTTTTAACCTACTGTCCTTGTCCCTCTTGAGTTAGAGGCCTCCCTCCTGCCCAACCTCGTCTCTCACTCCAGATGACAAGACTCTCTCTCTCTCTCTCTGTGGCATTTGAAGACCTTTATTTTAAAGGGCTTAAAAAAGAAAACCCTTTTAAATGACTCCACATCCATTGAGGTGGGACGGAATGTGTAGCCTGTCTCAGGCCTGTTTGTCGGGAAATGTTACAGGCTTTCAGGATGAGGTGTGGGGTCACAAGGAATGCACACTGAACTCCAAGAGAGTGAGGCTGTACCAAGAGCTGCTGCATTTGAGCCCTGCCACACAGAGCGCAACGGTTCTGAGGTGGCCCAGGGCACTGAAGCGAGACTCTCGCTCAGTCAGGGCCCAAGTCAGCTACCTCAGAAACAGCAATGCAGCTGAGGCCGAGCTCAAGACACTGGACACCAGTGTCAAGACTGACCGGCCAAGAACCTAGCCTGGAGATATTCCAGAAACACCATGAGGCTACTCAAAATGTTTGCCACCCTTGCTGCACTGTGTTCCTAGCTCAGAGGAATCGGCACTGCAATGCTGCCTGATTTGACCTGTGACTTGCCCCTGAGCACCCCTAGGCAGGACCAACTCGGCCCCACTCCAGCCTTTTCATAGTCACTGAGATGGGCGTCGTTCCTACCTCCTTCCCTAGCCCAAATCCTTTTAAACAACAAGCCTGGCACAATCACAGAGTTTCTAAGAAAGAGCAGCAGCAGCCAGGGGAGGCTTTGTGGTCCAAGCTCAACCTCTAGTGGACACACGACTACATGACAAACTATCCAGACAGGCGGTGGGCCTGATGGGGCAGGAACCATGTGGTGGCTCAGTCTGGCCCCTCCAGCTGGGAAGGCTGCTTGATCTCTCAACTCAGGTTTATGTGGTAGCATCTTTCAAAATTTTGACCCGTACCACCTGAGCCTTCAAAGGTGAGAGGAACTTTCTTACTATGAACTCCTATTAATTCTTTGAGGACACCATTTGTCATCTTTTGTGTTACTTTTTAACATATCAAGATAGCATCCATCTCTCAAGGCCAGTTATAAAGATCCATGTAATACAATTCTGACATTATACGTTTGCCAAAAAAAAAAAAAAAAAGTTACTTCAAAGTTACATGCTTTCTGTTGTTAGGGAAAAAATATATTTTTTACAAAACCTTGCCGTTTCATTTTGCCTGAAAGACGGGCAATACCTTATTGTTCAAGTATTATAATTTGATTCCGTCGATCTCTGTTCTATCTCCAAATGTCTTCTCTTGTACTGTAATTTTAATCTATAAAAACACCTCAATTCCTTTATGAGGTGAATGGGAGTTTTCTTTCTCTGACTCCCAACCTCTATCTCATTTCCTCTTTGATTCTCATTTTCTCTCCTTCCTTTGCTCCCTTGTCCTCATGCCCAGGTCTCAGTCATCTTGAATTCCCTCTTGCAGCCTTTTCACAAGATAACTCCAGCAGGC